GACCTTCTGTAGCAAGTACTTCAGGTCCTCCTCAGTTTCAGTGAGCAGGGTTGTGTCATATGCACAACATAGGTTGTTGATGATTCTTCCACCAATTCTGATGCCACATTCCTCCTCATACAGCCCATCTTTTAAAAATCATTTTGATTGATAGATAAGAACCCTCCAAAGGATCAATACAGCCAGACCTTGTTATATATAAAGATACCATCACACATTGTTACAGTAACTACTAAAATAATGCCCAGCTTTAAGAAAACTGACAACCGAGCTCTTACAGAGAACTTAGAAATTTTGTTTTTTTTCTCATTTGGGGTTAAACAAAAGTCAGATATGACAGAGAAAACAGGAAGACTATAGAAAAAAAGCTGACTTGTCTGAAGTTACTACTGATTTACTTGGCTTAACATAATATGGGCAAGGAAGAAGACAGGCCTGGTGATCCATGTCTGAAAGGTTACAGCCTGAAAAGTCAGAGAAGCACAACTCTACACTGCATGCCTGAGCCACCACGAGTCAGAATTAATCCCATGACAACTACATAGACAGACATTTTCCCCCCTCTCTTTTTAGTTTCTTACTTTATTCCTTGAAAATATATTTAAATGAGAGGAAAAGAATTTTTTTTTTCTTAATCTATACTGGCCAGTAGCCAGGAAATTAAAGACATATTGCCCTGGGAAAGTCTGCTGTTAGGGACCTCTCCAAAGTACTAAAGAACAACGGTATCTCTCTAGAGATTAAGGTGTGTCTGACACAGGCCATGGTCTTTGCTATCACTTGTTATGCATCAGAAAGTTGGCCAATGACCAAGGAGGATAGAAGGAGAATTGATGCCTTTGAGCTGTGGTGCTGGAGAAGAATATTGAGGGTACCATGGACTGCTAGGAAAACAAACAGATTCATCCTGGAAAGAATTAAGCCAGGTAGCTCCTTGGAGGCAAGGATTCTGAAGCTCCATCTAACATACTTTGGACATGTTGTAAGGAGGGACTGGTCCTTAGAGTGGGACATCATGCTTGGGAGGGTGGAGGGACAGCACAGGAGGGGAAGGCCCTCTATGAGGTGGATTGATTCAGTGACTGGGGTAATTGGGATGGGTGTATTGGAGACAGTGCAATTGGCACAGGACAGATAGGGTCGCTATGAGCAACTCGACAGCACATATCAACCACAACAACATACTGTCACAGGCACATGGCCTCTGGTTTCTTGATGAAACGCAGGTATGGAAGGCTCCAGGACCTTGTGGCTTTCTCTGTGCCCCAAGTAGGGGTCGGCAGAGCAGACTTGCCAGATGAACTGAGGGTCTCTGGCCCAGAGTTGGCTAGCATTTAGGCAGGCTAAAATGGTAAAATACTGAAGGGCCCTCGTGCTGTTTCTCATTGTTTTTGCTCAAACAGTGTTCTATGTCGTATAGCCCTGGTGTGTCCACTTGCTGTACAGAGGTAACTTGTGGTCGCTGTGAAGCTGAATACTGTGACACTGATGTGGCAAATGTGATAATGGTTTCTCATCATGGACAGTGTTTGGTGGTGCTCCCCGGTTGAAACAAGCTTGGAAGTAGGAGTGGCATCCACTTCCGTAAATAGCTTGCTTCCATAAATAAATGAACCTGGAGAAAGGATGAAAGACACGCAAGTGTCGAGAACTTTAGTTCATAGGGTCGCTATGAGTCACCTATGACTCAACAGCACTCAACAACAACATATTGCTATAAAATGTTTGGATTAGGAAGTATCTTAGTTATCTAGGAATGACATAAGAGAAACATCACAAGTAGATAGCTTTAAGAAACAAATTTATTCTTTCAACTAGTTGTTGTTAAGTGCCATTGAGTCATAGAAACCTCATAGCAACCTATGAACAAAAGACCTGAACACTTGTATCACTTTGGTCATTTCTCCATGTTCATAGAATTTTCAGAGGCAAGCCGTTTCAGAAGTGGATGCCACGCTTGCTTCCATGCTTGAGGTAACTTGTAGTTGCTATGATGCTAAACACTGTGACACTGATATACCAAATGCATGGTGGACAGTGTTTGGTGGACAGTATTGGAGATTCCTGATTAAAACAAACTTTGAGGCAGGAGTGGCATCCACTTCCAAAATAGTTTGCCCATGGAAACTCTGTGAACATGGAGAAATGATGAAAGTCATACAGTTGTTCAGGTCTTTTGTTCACAGGGTCGCTATGAGTCGTCTATGACTTGATGGCACTTAACAACAATAACAACAACAACATAGAGAGCTCTTTCAGCTTGTTGTTGTTGTTGTTGTTATGTGCCATCGAGTCACTTGCGACTCATAGCGACCCTATGTACAACAGCCCTAAACTCCGCTC